GGTGTGTGGACTTCCTAAGGTCACACAACCAGCTGCCTGGGATAAAATCTCCGTCCAACAGGTGTGGATCAGAACCTGTGCTCCTGCGCCGTAGGAAGCCTCTCTATGTACCCCACGCTGGCCTCAGCCATGCAAGTGAATGCATCAGAGGCATGAACCACCACACTTGGCTCTTATTCTTCGCTCATAATGCATCTTTGTTCTGACAAAATAAATAAATAGAAATCCTTTGCCATGGAGCTGGAAAGGTGGCCTAGCAGTTAAGAGACTTCCAGAGGACTAGAATTTGATTCCTAGCACCCACATCATGCAGTTTACAATCGCAGGAGGTCCTGCTTCTGGCCTCTGAGGAATACACATGGTGATACACAAACACATAAAATAAATCATCATCATCATCATCATCATCATTATTATTATTTTGGTTTTTTGAGATAAGGTTTCTCTGTAGCCCTGGCTGTCCTGGAACTCACTCTGTGGACCAGGCTGGCCTTGAACTCACAGAAATCTGCCTGCCTCTGCCTCCCAAGTGCTGGGATTAAAGGCGTGCGCCTCCACCACCTGGCAAAATAAATCATTATTAACAAGACCTGATGATTTTATGTGGATAGAGGTTTGTCTGCATGTGCAATGCTGGTGTCCATTCAGATCTCTCTCTGTCTTTGTCTCTCTGTCTCTGTCTCTCTCTCTGTGTGTGTGTGTGTGTGTGTGTGTGTGTGTGTGTGTGTGTGTGTGTATTTTGTTTTGTTTTTTGAGACACGGTTTCTCTGTGTAGCCCTGGCTGTCCTGGAACTCACTCTGTAGACCAGGCTGACCTCAAACTCAAACTCAAACTCAGAGATCCACCTGCCTCTGCCTCCTGAGTGCTGGGATTAAAGGTGTGCACCACAACCATTTGGCTCTGTTCAAATATCTTGAAACCAGAGTCACAGATTAGAGTTATAGACAGTTGTGAGCTGCCATGTGGGTGCTGGGAATTGAACCTATGTCCTTTGGAGTAACAGCTGGTGTTATTAATCACTGAGCCACCTCTCCAGCCCCCAAAATAAGATACATAATTTTTAGAAATCCTTTGACAGAATAGCTTTCCATCTGCTGGGTCTGATCACAAGATGCAGGGGTATGCATCAGATGGCACAGCCTTTCTCTCAGGTTTTTTCTAGAAATTCATTTGCATTGTATTTTCCAAAAGTATCTGACCATATGCAATGTACATCAAATTGATAAGTTGTCATGTGCTGTTTGAGCTCGCTGAGAAGCTGGCTCTGGGAACAGAGTTGCCTGGGGACAACTGAACCCCACTTCAAAACCCAAACATGTTTAAATGTCCTCCAAACCTCCTTGTCTAGGAATGGGCTGGCCCCTCTAGCTCCGTGACAGGCAGGATACCATAGCAAACAGTGAAAATCTGTGCCCTTGAGAACAGCTGGGAAGTGGAGCATTTTCAGCAATGGTTTCTCTTGCTTATCTCGTGATATGAAAGTGCCTGGCATGGGAAAGAGCGGCAGGAAGTTCAGCCATGGAGGGAGAGCACAACTGGGAATCCAGCGCATGCCTTAACTTACTCAGTTCCTATTGGATGTTTGTGAAGACCTGTTTCATGACATCATCTCTATCCGTTGCTGTTTGTTCTTCTACTTGGAGGCCTTACCAGAGGGAATCCTCTGCTCTGCCAGGACTCACTCTATTGGGAACTCCAGCCCCTCAACAGGGCTCCCCTGGATGGGGTGTGTTGAGCACCCAATTTGATGATATTTTGCTTTCAATCACTTGTTATTTATTCATTTACTTTGGCTTGCTATATACATAATGATCTAACTCACTTAAAACTAAAGTCACGGTTACCATAGATCATTCTCCAAAGTGCAAAGAACACAATGGTAGGTTTAATAAAAATAATCCTTTATAGGCTGCAGAGACGGCTTTGTGGTTTAGAGCACTGGCTGCTCTTCCAGAGGGCCAGGGTTCAATTCCCAGCACCCACATTGTAGCTCACTACTGTTTGTACTTACGGTTTCAGAGGATCTGACATCCTCTTCTGACCTCCATGGCCACTGCATGTATGTAGGCAAAACACCAATATTCATAAAATAAAAATAAAGTCTTTAAAAATTAAAAAAAAAAGTCCTTTGCCCCAGAAGGTTTTTGAAGTCCAGGCCTGGGCAAGTTGCGGGCATCTCTCCTGTCTTCACAGTTAGAATCACTGCTGTCCTGTCAACCCTCCTGTGTGGTTACTAGCAAAACTCCCATTCTTTCCTGAAAGTGTCTCAAAAGTATATATATATATATAATATACACATATTCATCACGACTCAGTCAAACCGAGAGCAGGGAACCATTTGATGCTTTTGGCGGCAGCCTTGGCATGTAGTTGCCATGGCCACGAGAGTCTTTGTTCTGCCAACTCTGGCCTGTGGAACATCTCCCACACGCTCCTAACCTACTGGCAACTGTAGGTGCTACTCACAACAGCTTTGGGTGCCATTACCTACTTGGTGGTGAGTGTCCTCTACCTGGGTTTAGTAGATGTACAAAAGGTCACCTGATAGAACACATAATCATTTTCAGGCAGAGAGACATTTGAAAGTTGAACCCTTTCCTTGGAAGTCTGAGAAACTCCCACTGTCTGTGTGACCTGAGGTGGCTGGGCTGCTAGGGCCATGGAGGGGATGGCTGCCCTCTTTGGGAGAACTATCCATGCTCCCCAGGGCCAACCCTCTATTTCTGGAAACATTGCCCACTCCAGGTGGCTGCCTGTAATGTGCCACAGTAAGGCTGGCCCAGGGCCAATGCCAAAGGCGGGAGGCAGGGGAATGGCTTAGTTGGTAAGTGCTTGCCACACAAGCGTGAGGACCTGAGCTGAACCCCAGCACCCATGTGAAGGTACTACATGTAGCAGCACATGTAATCTGAGTGGTGGGGAGGAGAGGATGAGAACCTCTGCGGCTCCCTGGCCAGCCAGCCTAGCCTAAGATGAGCTCCAGACCCGTGAGAGACCCTGTCTCAAAAAATAGTTGCTTGCCCTGGAGTAAAAGACTCAAGCTTCACTCCTGACCTCCACACACGTGGACATAAGTACATATGCCCATTGAACACACAGCCACAGCCACACACACACACACACACACACACACACACACACACACACACACACACACACAGCTACTGCTGGCTGCCCAGGTCAGAGGGAGAGATCAGAACTCTTCTCTGGGTGCCCCCTTCCTGCACTCAACTCTGTCCCATTTGTCCTTCCAGGATGAGGGACTCATGTCTGGTGAAGGATTTGGCTCTTCAGTGTCTACTTTCCCCCTCCTTTTCTCTTGATGTCAAGGGTCAAGCGTCTTGTTAATAAATTCTCTGTCTCCTCATGCCTCACGATAACTACCTTCCAGAAGTAAGCAAGACCACCATGGAGTAGAACAAAAGAAAAGGCCTCAATTGTGCCTTCCAGACTTTTTTTTAAACTTATTTTCTAAGCAGGATCTTGTATAGCTCATACTGGAGCCAGCTTACTATGTAGCTGATGATGATTTTGAACTCCAGATCATCCCTGTTGGTTTTAATAAGTGGTGTGGCAGCACAGTGTTATTAAGCGGCTCTGTTACTGTGCGAGAAAAGCCACAAGGCATGACAAAACCCAGTATCAGAGCTTTATTAGGAGGAGGGGAGACAGAAGAGAGCGTGGCCAGGCCTGTTGGAAAGACACGTGAGGAGAAGGGAGAGAGAGAGGCGGAGGAGGAGGAGGAGGAGGAGGAGGAGGAGGAGGAGGAGGAGGAGAGAGCAGAAGAGAGGCGGAGGAGTCTGTGACTGGTTTTTTAAGGATTCCCCTGCGCATGCGCATGTGGGCTTATGGAGCTACGCCACACATGCACAGATCGCATGACTGCATGGCAATCATGCAGCGCACAGATGATGTAGGATGTAAGACCCCTTACTTGGCTACTGAACTGTGCATGTGCGGTCATATAGCTGGAGGAGTGGCTGGAATCCTAACAACCCCACTTTCACTTCTGGGATTACAGGGGTGCACCACTAAACCCAGTTTCAATTCCGCATTCCTGCTTAACCCATGACAACAGGCAACCAACCCTACCCCTGTCAACCCTCAGGAAGTCTCCACAGGAGAGCCTTCCTTAGACTGCAGTACTTATCTCTTCAGATGACCACACAGCCTGGTTCTAAGATCCCCTCTACCCAGGCTAAGTGTGTTTCCACACATCTGTGTGTGCCTGTGTGTGGCTCCATGTGCATGAGTTCTGTAGACCAACCTTCATTTCCTGGTGGCATATTCCACCCCACCCTCCAAGGGCTGCTCCTCATCCCCACCCCTCACCCCAACAACAGGTTACAGAAAAGAGCCTAAAGCAACCCAGGGAAACACAGTTTCTGCAGCCTGGTATTGGCTGCATGCACACATGAGTCCCCTTTGTCTTCTCTTAGTCTGGCTTCCCTCCCAGGGTGATCCTGCCAGAGGATTTTGAAAATGGCCATTTCTGCTACGGTAGCAGGCAAGGAGGGGCTGGGTTGGGATGGGGGTCAAGGATATAATAGCTGGGAACCCAGGGGGAGAGTTGGGCTGTGTGTGGCACTACACTCAGCTGTGTGTGGCACCCAGGTGACTGTACCCATCCTTGTCTACACAAGGACTCCTCTCAGGCACCTCTGCTAGCTGCACTGTCCATATAATCTAGGTGGCCTCTCTCAGACATAGATCTAGTGACAGCTTCCTTCTTGGACAGGTTGTAACAGAACTGTCCAGTTCTGTGTTGTGCAAGAGGAGATAGTCATGGCCAACGCAGACAACACACAGACACACCCTCAGGGTCAAGCCAGAACAAGGATAAGGAAATGGGTACAATTTACTCAAATGTTCCGGAAGACCCAAGATTTCTGTCCAAAGGTCAAATCAGGGAATGATTGGCTGAGATGAGGAATTGAACCAGGAGCCAAGTCTGGAACGATGGGGCCTTCTCGAGTGGTAGCCCATGGCTGAGGCTAGCATGGCCTCCTCCCTGAACAGGGAGTGAGTTGGTGAGAAGTGATTCTCAGGGACACGTGGGCTGTGCCAGTGGCACCATGTGTAGCTGGCTCCAGGTTTCCAAGCAAGACACTCCAGGATGTAGAGGCTGAGGCCTCTGGCACAGGGGATATAGGAGGCTTCGGAAAGGCCATTCTCCTCATGATTCTGGGCTGGGCTGGTACCTGCAAAGGAGGTGATAGAAGGAACAGGATTTGGGTTTCAGTATCATGCCTCTCCAGAATATTACTTCCACTCTCTTGGCCTTGGCATCCTCATCTGTAAAAATCAGAATTAATCTCCCCAACAGGGTGTTTATGACAATTAAATGAGTAGGTAACATGTGTTACATGTTGTAAAAGTATAAAAAGTGTGCTCCAAAACTGGTACATGTTGAATGCTGGTCTGTTCTTTAATCTATCCATACTTCCATCCACCTATCAGCCAGCCACCTATTTGTACATCCATCCTTCCATCCATTCATCCATCCATCCACCCACTCACCTATTAACCTATATGTCTCTGCATCAATTTATCAATCTATCTATCATTCATCTTACTATTTGTTTGTCCATCCATCTGTCCATCTACCTATCCATTTATCTATCTACATACACATCCACTTAACCACCCATCCATTGATCTGCTCATTCAAAAAAAAAATCAACTCATAGGATACTTTCTTGCCCAGGTTCCCAGACCCTGCAGCAGGAGGCAGCCTCCCTGAGTTCTGTGACCACATGTTTTCTCACCATTGTCTCAACCCCCTTCCTCCTTCTTACCGCTGAGTACTACTGGCTCAGCTCTGGGCTCTTTCACTCAAAGAGAGATAAAAATCACAAAAAGACCAACAACAGCATTGGAAGAAGGCTTTATTGAGGGCTTGCACTCAAGCATATGATGGCTTATGGGATACAATCCGGGTCTACTCCCCCAGGAAGCCTCTATTGTCCGTCAAGTTTGTGCAGGTGCTTGTGGTTATGGCAAAAGGCAATAAATGCACCGTAACTTTAGTCTTGGCAGGAGAACAGAGCACAGCACAGGGGGTCTACTCATGCTCGAAGTCTGCCTGCACTGAGGCTGACGTAAAGTATATACTATTGGCACTTGGATGCTTGACCAGGAAGGTCAGGCATCAGTCAAGCCAGATACTCTGAGTCCAGAGCTATAGGAAAGTCTCTTTGCAGACTTTGGAGGAAGCAGGAGGCATCAATAGTGCCAGTGTGTGATGCAGAGCCTGCGGGAAGCTTCCTTAATAAGTGTGGGAAACACAGCTGGGGACTGAGCCCTTCTGGTCCCCATCCCAGCCATCAGGGACACAGGTCCTGGTTTTTCTTGTGTCTTTCAAATTCTACCAGCATGTTAGCTTATACCTGTAATCCTAGCACTTGGGAGACTGAGGCAGGAGGATTGTCTTGTGTACAATGACAGCCTGAGCTGTTGAGAACCCGACTGGAAACAAAATGGGTGTTAGGGAGATGGGCTCAGTCAATAAAGTTCTTGCCTTGCATACACAAGGACCTGAGTTCAATCCTTAGAATCCGTGCTCAAAAACATAAAAACAAAACAAACAAACAAACAAACAAACAATAGAAAAGGTAGCCTGCACTTGTAATCCCAGCTCTGGGAAGGCAGAAGAGGAGGATCCTGGCCAGCCTAGCTGAATTGGCAAGCTCCAGGCCAATGAGAAACAGTGTCAAAGAGCAAGATAGTTCCTAAGGATGTCCTCTAGTTTCCACATGCTTGCATGAACACACACACACACACACACACACACACACACACACACACACACACACACACACACCAGTGACTTTGTGGCTAATGGAACTTATTTAATTTTGAGACAGTGTTTCATTTTGTAGCCCAATCTGGCCTTGAACATGTGGTAATCCTCCTGTTGCAGCCTTTGGAATACTGGGATTACAGGTATAAACCATCACTTTTTTGTTGTTGTTGTTTTTTTCGAGACAGGGTTTCTCTGTGCAGCTTTGTGCCTTTCCTGGATCTCACTCTGTAGACCAGGCTGGCCTCGAACTTATAAAGATCCGCCTGCCTCTGCCTCCCGAGTGCTGGGATTAAAGGCGTGCACCACCACCGCCTGGCTAAGCCATCACTTCTTGAACTTTTGCTTATTTATTATGAGATAGAGTCTTTTTTTCTCAGGCTGGCCTCGAACCTGCTATGCAACAAAGGATGATCTCCAACTTCTGGTTCTCCTGCTTCCACCTTCCAAATGCTGGGATCACAGATGTTTATAACCAGATCTGATGTATGCAGTGTTAGAAATTGAACCCAGGGCTTCTTGCATGGTAGGCAAGCACTCTACCAGCTGATTACAACCCCAGCTCTTGGCTTTTCATAGAATTTTCTATTTCAACTCCCTTTTGCTCATTACCAAAATGTCTTTTTCTGTTTTTCTAAACTTTTCTTTTTGTTATATGTTTACTAATTTATCTTTTTTTTTTTTTTTTTTTTTGACAGTGCCCTAACTGTCCTGGACCTCACTCTGTAGACCAGGTTGGACTCAGACTCCCAGAGATCCACCTGCTTCTGCCTCCTGAGTGCTGGGATTAAAGGTGTGCACCACCATGCCCAGCACTATTGTGTCTATTTTTATTTATGTGCACAGGTGTGTAGATGCCCCTGTGAAAGCAATGGGTAGAAGCAGGCAGAACCTGGAGGGGAGAGGTCTCCCTTTTGTTTCCTCTCCTTTTTTTTTAGTCCTTTAAAATTATACATATATATATATATATATTGATCAATTTGTGTGTGCATGTGTGTTTGTTTGGAAGTCAGAGGAAACATTTTGGGAACTGATTCTTTCTTCCCACCACATGGGTCCCGTGGATCAAAGTCGTTCAGGCTTGGCAGCAAGCAGCTGTGTCTGCCCAGTCACTTGGCAGCAAGCGGCTGTGTCTGCCCAGTCACTTGGCAGCAAGCGGCTGTGTCTGCCCAGTCACTTGCTGGCCCTTCCCTCAGGTGTTTCGGGCACAACTCCGGGAAAATGAGCACGAGAGTCCATATGCAAGAGCCTAGCATCACCAACTGTTAGCAGGGACAGAGAGTGGAGAATTTACACTCTGGGGGGAACACCCCAGCTCCTGCCACTTTGAGAGCTGGTTGGCAGTTTCTTTCCTTCATGTACCCAGGCTAGCCTTTAAATTGCTGTGTAGCTGAGGTTGACCAATAGCTTCTACCTCCGAAGGTGTGTGCCATCATGCCCTGCTGGCAGTTTGTTTGAAATGTTTTCACTTGCATTATGAGGTATCAATTTCACTTTAAGAAGAATAAAAGCTTCTGCCCCCAAGAGTTAACAGCCTTCAACAAATAGCCCAAATGTTCATCACTCAGCAAATTATTTAAAAACTGGGTTATAAAATAAAATAAAATAAAACAAAACATATTCCCCCCCTCAAAAAAAACAAAAACAAAAATAAAAAACTTACAGACTACATATGCTGATTAATCTCTAATGACAACTTAATGAAATCTAGTATCACCAGGGAGATGGGGGACAAGCCTCTGGAGATGATCTTCATCATGTTAATTGATATGGGAAGGATTGCCCACTGTGGGTGGTGCCATTCCCTGGGCATGGGTTTTCCAGTTTATATAATGGAGATAGGGCACTGAGAAGCAGCTTGTATTCATAGCTCTCTGCTTCTTTATGTGGATGGGATTTGACTAGCTGATTCAAATACCTGATGCCTTGACTTCCTCACAATAGACTGTACCTTGATCTCTGAGTGACAGTAAACCCTTCTTCCAAGTTGTTTTTGTCAGAGTATTTTGTCACAGCAGCAGGAAAGGTAGGTAGGACACTACTGAGCTACAAAACACAGATGAATTTCAGAAATGCATTATCAAGTGAAGGAATCCAGGTGCAAGACTGCCTCCTGGTGACTCCTTTTACATGCATCTTAGAGGTAGCAAAACCAGTCAGCAGTCACAGAAAACAGGTTGGTGGTTGCTTGGAACTCAGGATGGGGGACATTGAATGCCTGGGGAAACTTTGGGAGGCAAACTTTCCACTTTTAATGGTAGCAGAGGATATGGGGGGGCGGGGTGCAGATTCACTAAAAGTTGTCTAACTTCACTGTTATCATAGCTACTGTTTTTTGTTTGTTTTTGTTTTTGTCATTTTGACCCAGGGTCTCACTCTGTAGCTCATACTCCTCTTGAGCTCAGACCCTCCCACTGTGGCCCACTGAGTGCTGGGATTACAGGTGTGTTCACCACACCTGACTCACACATGCTTTTTATTGCTGACAAGTTATAACCTCAATAAAGTTGATTAACCCTGAACAGGAAAATACAACTGAGTAATGAAGTCTAAAGAAAGTAGGGCAATTAAGTCCTAGAGGGCTAGACAAAGCCACAAGCCAAACATGAACAGCAGTGTGCAATAAGGCAGAAGACATCGCTCTGTAAAGTTCAGACAGATAAGAGCTCAAACACACGTAAAATAAAAATACCTCATTAAACATAAATGAGAAGAAGTATTGAGGAGGCTACTGTGCTCCACGTGGGATAGTGAAAAGCTCCAGCCCGGTGGAAGGTGGCCCAGCACTGCAATGTATACTTTAAGATGGTTTAAATGATCTAGGCATGGGACTTCACACCTGTAATCCCAGTATTGGATTGTTGAGGCAGAAGGATTGCCATGAGTTTTAGGCTAGCCTGGGCTACATAGTGACACTGTTTCAAAAAAGAATAAACAAATAAAATTAATTAGATAGAAGCTGGAGCTATGGCCTATTGGCTAAGAGCACTTGTTGCTCTTGCAGAGGACCAAGTTCAGAGGACTGAACCAAGGTCCAGTTCCCAGCACCCACATTCACAACCATTTGTAACTCCAGGGAATCTGATGGCCTAGTCTGACATCTAAGGGCACAAAGCTTGCACATATATGTATGCAAAACACTCATACACAAAGGATAAAAGTATATTTTAAGTTAATTAAATACAAAATAAGATGAGTTAAATAGTAAATTTTCTTTTTTTAATAATGAATTTACTGGTATGTTTACTACAATAAAAATATATTTGCTAAACTCTCACAATGTATAAATGGAATTGGAGACCTCAGAGTGACTAGGGGCCAGGGACATAAATTCTGTGGGGAGTACAGACTCTTAGGTTTGGAGCCCTAGGAAACAGACCCTGCTCCAACACTCCACTAGACTCCTGAGCAGGACGGGAGTGGGATTGGGCAGGTTGAAGAACCCCAGTCATACTCTGCAGAGTCAAATTTTTACTAAGCTCAGTCTTGTCATGGCTCTGTGCTTACCTCTGTCCTCGCGCACCCTCTAGGCCAGCGATTCTAGTCCTTGGCTTAAAGAAATGTGAGGAACGAGGTAAGGGGTGAGAAGCGGCCTGAGCCTGGCATTTCCGAGTGCATAGCCGCATCTCTGACTTTGTACACTAGAGGGCAGAAACACTTCACAGTATCATGGCCCAAAACACCCTAGGTGGTTGTTCCTAGGCCAAAGTCCCATGCTCTGTGAAATCTCCAATTTCCTGGACAAGTTCAAATTCAGATTCCCTCTCCCATACGGGGCCTCCCGGGGGTCACTGGTCTGCACATGGGCCACCCCAGACTGGTTTGCAGGAGCCAGTCCCTCCTTAAAGGGGGTGGCAAGAATGGATGGAGGGGTTTGGAATATGGGGTTTCTCCAGGAGTAGCTTTAGACTTTGGGGAGCCCAGTGTGATATGACATCATGGGACCTCTTGCTAAGGGCTGAGTCAGAAGGCTAGCACAGTGACATAGCGGGGCTTGCAGTGTGGTCATGTAATAAAACCATCCCTGGCTCTTCTGAAGTCTTTTGATACTGTGGAAAAAGAGGATTCTCGAAAGTTCCTTTGTCTCAATCTGGGTCCTGGAGACCTCTTAAAATCATGTCTTTTCCTCAGAGCTTCTTTAAAGTCTTGCCACCTCCCTGTGGCTCCTGGATCCTCAGGAACCATGCTACTGTTGCTGACCTTGGGTCTCCTTGCTAGTCCCTTCTGCAGAGCCCAGGATGAATTCTTACACTTGGTCTACAACAATGATTTCCCACGTCCTGATCTGTCAGAGGCAGCTGACAAGTCGACCAGGTAACTGAGTGGAGGCATGTGAATACTGAGAAGACAGAACAAGAGTCGAAAGGACCGCTAGTCAACGTCAAACAGTGCCTGAGTTTATTTCACAGCCAGCTTACATATAAACTTGGAGGGCAGAAGTAGAACAGTGCATAGCACAGGCATTCAACCACTACCCACCCTGTCCTTGGGTCATGGAGCCGGCAATTTCATTTTCTATCTTGATGTACCTCCCAGCTGGATGTCAGCAGCCTGAGGCCAGCAGCAGCAGCCTGTGTCTAGCTAGACAGTGTGTTCCTTCCCATGGGCTAATCAGGACTTTCTCACAGCCCTTCAAGGAGACTCTATGGGTTACTCAGGACTTTCTCACAGTCTTGGAGCAAGTAAGTCTGAACTCTATTGACTCAGAATAGACTTCAGATTCAAACTGGGAAACTAAGTCAGTTATGGGCTCCCACAATTCCTCGTTTTTCAGTTATTTTAAGACTCCCAGATGACCATGCCTGTCTTAGATGTTTCCTTACCACACTCCAATCTTACTTGTCATGGGAGCACGAATTCCATAATTCATGTCCTGACTTAGGCTGAAAGGAGGCAAAGAAAACTTACCTGTCTTTGGTTATCATCCTCTGGTATCATAAGTCAAGGGAATATGTGGAGTTTTACTACATGAAGTTCTGAGCCCAATTTTTATAGCAAGTTTGTAATCAGCTTGAAAACCATAGGCAAATAGATTAATCCTATTAAGACATATATCCCAATAATTATAATATAACTTAAGAGTGAAGCAAATGATCACCATGATGGAATAGACTTTTTAAATTGTTCCAACATTTTTCAGCTGTTTTAGCCATATCAAAATCTAATTTAGCTTTTTTATTTTTGTAATCTCTTGATGTAATTTAGCCAAATTTCAAGACTCATTACAATCATGCCAAATTCCTTTAATATGTGCCTTAACTCTTTCCCATCCAACAACATTTTCATTATATATAGAAGATGTAATATAAATCCATTCATCATTATCATAACATTTTAAAATATTCTAGTTTTAGGCTGTGGAGCTCATCTCCCTAAAATTGTACCATCTCATATACGGCATTCAATTTATGTTCCATTCTTATATCTATATCTTTTTGTGTTTTTAATGTCATAGAAACATTCTTAGATAACTGATTAACAAAACCCACTGTCTGAATGGACTGAGACAAAGCCTTAGTAGTGCATAGTAGAAACAATCATAGTAGTAGCAAGCATGGTAACAAGGGCTGCAATTTCTGCTATAAGTAATCCAACAACATGCTCTTATCTATCTAAAGCTTTTTAAATCATTTGTAACCATTTATCATCAAATCATGGATCATTTATATATATTGTCTTTATTATAAAAGAACGTTGTTTTAACATTATTATATGAGTATGATTGTCTATTTGAGAAATATAATTAGTCAAAATGCAATTAAAACATGATATAGTAAACATAGAACTATTTATAGAAGTATTTACCTCTCCAACTAAAAGGACATAGGGCAATGTAACATAAGCTAAAACAGTCTCAATCAAAAGACAAACAGGTTTTTTTGTTTTGTGTTTTTGTTTTTGTTTTTTGAGACAGTGTTTTTCTATATAGTTTTGGTGCCTGTTCTGGATCTCACCCTATAGATCAGGCAGGCCTCAAACTCACAGAGATCCACCTGGCTCCACCTCACTAGTGCTGGGATTGAAGGCGTGCACCATTGCTGCCTGGTGACAAATGGGTTTTGATGAACTGGAATGTCCTGTCATTGTCCCCATGGCAGGAGCAAGTTTCCAACATAAGTTTGTGAAAATCCTGTACTGGAATACCAAATTCCAGCTGACAGTCCTTGGTCCCAAGATTCAGTTGTAGACATAGGATAAGCGTCATTATAATCATCTTGATTTCCAGACCAGTCAAGAATATATTGTTGTGTTCCTGTGATGTTGTATTTTAAACGAACAATGCCAGTACATCTCTGCCATAACAAAGTTCTGTTAGAGTCTCATAATTATTTTGTGCATATAGGATATCATTGAGGGAGTGAAATATTACTTACCTAATTACTTTGGGGAAGCAATAACTTTGTATAATGGGTACATAGTTTATCATGCCCCATTATTTGTTTTGAAAACATTCCAAAAATCCCTCTAAAGAAATATTTCTTTTGCAAAACATAAATGAATTCTTTCATCACATCCAAAATAACAAAAATTTTGAGCAATAAGGAATTCTTGAGTGGCAGGTTGATCTAATAGCCAGGTACCATTGACTGTGACCACAATCTCCCTTCCTTCCCAAATCACAGGATGTAACACAGGTGGATCAGGAACACAGGCCCAACAGGTCTCATCACTCTGGCACCTCTGGATGTCCATCAGTAACATCAGGACCAGCATTTCTCTGTTCCATATATCACATTAAACACTCAGGGAGTGAGTATTTATTTTTTTCCTGTGAAAAAACATAAACATGCCCTCATCCCAATATTAAAACAGTGTTGAGCCTCTTAATTGATTAAAATAAAAAACCAGCTACTGATCTCAAATGTTTCACACTGAATTAGGTTTTTATCTATTCATGCAAATTTAAGTTTTTATTATGATATATGCATACCTATATATGCATGAAATGTTATACCTATAGAATGTTGTAAACTGCTGGAAAGAAACCACAAGAAAAAGGACTTTGATGAAAATTTGCATGTTTCTAAAAAGCAAGAGAAGTCAAAAGACTAAAATTTTAAAAAAATTGTTCAAGTCTGGCTGATCCAAAAGAACATGGAAAAAGGCCTAGCCTAAAGGTACATGAACATTACAGAAGGCCAAAGGAGATATAAACTATACTAACTTCAAAGGAAAACTATAAGATATGTTGGAGATTTAACCATATCAGGTTAATTCTGGTTGGTATTTAATTAAAAAAATAGCTGAAGATTCTGCCTTTTCAATATTTAAATTATATATTATATCCTGAAAAACTAAAGCATCAAAAATTTAAAAAAGGTTAAAAACTTTAAATAATTTTCAGAAGTTATTACGGGATATTTAATGATTGCAATTTTATTTAAAAATTATCTACTGATGATGTAGAACCTTTAAATAATATTTTAAAAGGAGATAATGATCCTAATTCGCCTAGACAATTAACTAAAAAAAAAAAAGACAGGTTCTTTTTTTTTTTTTTAATTTATTTTGCAATACACTTCAGTTCTACATATCAGCCACGGATTCCCTTGTTCTCCCCCCTCCCATCCCCCTCACCTTCCCCCCAAGCCCCCCCCCCCCCATTCCCATCTCCTCCAGGGCAAAGCCTTCCCCACAGACTGAGGTCAACCTGGTAGACTCAGTCCAGGTAGGTCTAGTCCCCTCCTCCCAGGCCGAGCCAAACAATCCTGCATAGGCCCCAGGTTTCAAACAGCCAACTCATGCAATGAGCACAAGATCTGGTCCCACTGCCTGGATGCCTCCCAAACAGATCAAGCCAATCAACAAGACAGGTTCTTTTACAGGTTGAAAATGCTATTCAGTATCAACAAATACATTACATTGATTATGATTAACCTTGACAAACATATATCCTGCCCACCAGACTTACTCCTACAGCAATATTATGACAAAACAGTCCTCCTTTATGGTTACATCTTCCTCTTCCATCAGTTAAAATGTTCAATTCATATTAACAACCTGTAACATGTCTAATACAAAAGAGTCAAATTAAATCTAAAAAATTTTTAGCAAAGAGCCTGAGATTATTAATATGTCATTCACTCAACAACAAATTGATTGGCTATTTCAAAATAATGATTCTTTGCAATTGCTTTTGCTAAAGTTTTAGGTCAAATTGATACTCATTTTCCTGCTGGTAAATTATTACACTTTGCACAGATACATTTTTTAATTTTCCCTAAAATAATAATACAAATTCCAATAAAAGATGCTGCTTTGATTTCTACTAATGGCTCATCTAATGGAAAATCAGTCTATGTAATCAATAAAAAAGGATATACAATCTAGACTACTACTGCTTCAACTCAAATATTAAAAAAAGACGAATTGTGGGAGCCCATAGTGACTCAGTTTCCCAGTTTGAATATTGAAGTCTATTCTGAGTCATTAGAGTTCAGGCTTGCTTGCTCCAGGGCTGTGAGAAAGTCCTGATTAGCCCATGGGAAGGAACACACTGTCTAGCTAGACACAGGCTGCTGCTGCTGGCCTCAGGCTGCTGACATCCATCTGGGAGGTACATCAAGATAGAAAATGAAACTACCTGCTCCTTGACCCAAGGACAGGGTAGACAATGGTTGAATGCCTGTGCTATGCACTGTTCTACTTCTGCCCTTCAAGTTTGTATATAAGCTGGCTGTAAAATCAACTCAGGCACTGTCCGGCATTGACTGGCCGTCCTCTCGACTCTGTTCTGTCTTCTTCACTGTCTCCACAATCCGCAGGCCTCCACACAGCTGCCTGGTCAACTCTGGAGGTGAGGAATTGGCTCTAGCTCTCTCTTAAGGCATTCCCTTTTGTCTCCCTTTCTTCAGAGACACAAGGTAATCAGAGGTTAAGGGCAGGGTGGAAATCCAGGACATCATCAGGGGTGAGTAGGGTTATGGCTCCTGGGCTTCCTTAGCATGCCCTGGCTGTGCCAACTCCTGTGGCTTATCTACTTAGAAGATTCATTGATCTTCCTTACCCATGTCTCTTGCTCTTCACTTTGGTCTGAGCTAACCCACTCAGGGCTGGAATGCCCAGGCTTGGGAAGGGCTGAAACCCCTCATAAGGGAGGCACATGGGGAGGAACTTTGGGATCAGAAGTGATCATAGAAGCTGGAAGGTCTCTCTTCCAGTTAAGTCTGGTGGCCTTAGGGCCTCTTGGTAGTGACAGAAACTGCTCATGTGAGCTGAGAGCTTTGCAGACCCCAGGTGTGCAGACCCCTTCTTTGGACCTTTGCTCTGCTCCAGAAGGCCAACCAGTCCCCTGGGACAGGCCAGATTTTGACTGTAGTCATCAGTGTCCACCTCTAGGGCTCTGCCTTTCTCCTACAGCACCCTAAGGATCTTGGGATCTTGGGTTACTGTTGCCAAGTTTGTCAAACACAAGCACAGTCCCCCAGGTCAATCAAATTGCAGACAAACAGTGAACACTCTTGAAAGCTGTCTTGGCCTGTACAATGTTTAACATATCCTTATTCTTTAAAAACTGAATATTGGGGTATTGAGGAGATAGTTCACTGAGTAAAAATGCTTGCTGTGCAGTGTAAGGCCCTAAGTTTGGATTCCTGGCACCGACATAATTCTAGCCCAAATACAAAGCTCCAGGTTCAGTGACCCTGCCTCAAAAAATAAGGTTGGGGAGCTGGTGAGAAGGCCCCACGACTAAGAGCACTTCCTCCACAAACCTGAGGACGTGAGTTGGGATACCCAGCACTCAGGGTAAAAAAAAATCTTGAATGGCTATGAGTATCTATAACCTCAGTATGGGACATGGCAGGCAAAGAGGCAGGCAGATATCAAGAGCGCTTTGGCCAGCCAGGCAGCCCAGGGGAAAACTGGAAGGCCAGTGAGAGACATGTCACCAGACACTAAGGTAGACAGAGATAAAAGAAGAAACTCTGTGTCCTGCTCTGACATCTGCATAGTCACATGCATATGTAATGTGCATGTGCTCCCACACATGCTCGAACACATGCATTCATACACACACTTCAGTAATGACAACAGAAGCATATTTTAATTTTATGCTATGTCTACAGGGTCTTACTATGTAACCCAGGCTAGCCTTAAGCCTGGATTGTTCCATCTCTTCCTCACAAGTGCTGGAGATCACAGACAGGCAACACCACACTCAGCTATAGTTACACTTTAAAAATGAAATGTTTGGAACCTGGTTTGTAGTCCAGTCCTGCAATCCCAGGAGGTTGGCACAAGAGGATCACAAATCCAGACCAATCTGGCTACAGAGTCACTTCAAGGTCAACTTGGACAGCTTAGTGGAACTCTGTCTCAAAATATAAAGTAAAAAGAGGGCTGGAGCCTGGCATGGAGGCTCATGCCCATAATGTCAGGACTCAGGAGGCTGAGGCAGGAAGGTTTCCACCATGAAGAAGTTCAAGGCCAATCTGTTTAATCTCAATCTGTGAGATCCTGTTTAAAAAACAAGTTAAGTAGGTACATAGATAGATAGATAGATACATACATACATACATACATAGATACATAGATAGATAGATAGATAGATAGATAGATACATAGATATATAGATAGATAGATAGATAGATAGATAGATAGATAGATACATAGATACATAGATACATAGATAGATAGATAGATAGATAGATAGATAGATAGATAGATAGATAGATACATAGATACATAGATACATAGATAGATAGATAGATAGATAGATAGATGGATGGATGGATGGATGGATGGATGGATGGATGGATGGATAGATAGATAGATAGATACATAGATAGATAGATATAGACTGAAAGACAAACAGACAGACAAATAGCATATGTCAGGCTCTATTCAACTCTCAGAACTTCAAAATAAGTAGTTGAGCCCTGGAATTACTCTGCAGGTAAGGGTCTTGCTGCCAAGCTTGGCAGTCTGAGGTTGGTCCCTGAGCTTACCCAAGGGAAAGAGAGAACTGATTTCAACAAACTGTTCTCTGACCTCTACAAGCATATCATGGCACAAGGTACTCCCCATTCAATAAACAATGTCCAACAAGTAAAAAATCGGTAAATGCTTGGGCTATACTTCCACAAAAATATTATGCATTGGTTATCTAAAATTCAAATTGAATTGGATATCCTTTCTACATTTCCTGTGGAGGCTGGCTGATTTGAGATGCATCTTAGCGAGTAAGAACAACAAACCTGGGGTTAAGAATACTCTAGATGACGTGGAGAGGGGACTTCTCCTCTTTGCTTAGTACAACAGCTGCCAGAGACCTCCAAGTCCCACTGAACAACACCAGGAGAGTAGGTTCTGTCTTGCTGGTCCCAGAGAACGCCCACTGAGGTCAAGGTCCATCTCTGGTCTACTTGCCTGGGCAGAGGGCTCTCACTGTGGCTGCTGCCTCCTTAGGGCTGAAAGGGGAGGAGGCTCCAGTTGGGAAACTGTGAGCTGGACAGACCCTGCAAAAGATTCAAGCTCAGGAGGGTGCTATAGTAGAGTTGACCACCTCCATACAACTGTCCACTGGGGCCAGACTTCCTGGGAACTAGAGGATGAGGCATGTGTCCCAGAGAGGTGGAGGCAGAAAGAATCTGTGGGTCCCAAGGAGAGGCTGACACACCAGGGCTAAACCACTTGGTACCTCCTTTTCTTAGGTTATAAAATGGGCACTGTATTGATGCCAGCCTCAGGGCTGCCTGGAGAACTGAGGGCTATGTTGAGAACTCTGTCTGCTCAGTTGGTGGGAGCTGCTATGAGCAGTGTGTGGAAGGGGTATGCATGGCGCAGATGTTTTAAGTGAAAACTCTGAAAAGATCTTAGGTAACAACCCATAAAAGGAAGGGCGGTGGGACCTATGCGGCACATTCTCCCAGTACAGACCTGGACCCATTTTTCCTTGAGAAGCCATGAGCAGGATGCATCTGATTTCCCCTCACATATGCTCAGGACTCTGCATATCTCATATGCTGGAGACAATCATATTTCTTGGCTGTAGGAACCTGCTTAGTCTGGATTTATGGAAATCAACAGTGTGACCACATTCTCCCACTTTCAGTTCTGAAACCTCTGTGCCCTGGTAGGATTCAACAGGATGTCCTCTGCAAATGCAGAGGACAGCATGGACTGTGAGGTTCATTTGTTCAAAAGCAGAGATGAGGAACCCAAATAGTGTCCCAGGATGTCCCAGATATATACCCATATTCTTGCAGGAAACCCTGCCAAGGGCAGGACTGTGGAGGTCCAACAGGTACAATAGTTAAGTGATGTCAGGGTATAAAGGAACCACCCAAGGAGCTCAGACCACACAGCACAGGTAAGGAAGGAGCAGCAGTCCAGCCTGGTGCAGCAGGAGAGGCCAGAGGGGAAACGGAGGATGGGTTGAGCCAGATAGAGACTGAACCATGAGGGACAGATGGAGCGATTTGGAACATGGGGTTTCTCCAGGAGTAGCTTTAGACTTTGGGGAGCCCAGTGTGATATGACATCATGGGATCTCTTGCTAAGAGCTGAGTTGGAATGGAAGCACAGCGACATTGGGGGGTTGCAGTGTGGGCATGTGGGGGAAACCATCCCTGGGCCCTTCTGAAGCCTTTAGAGATGTGGAAAAAGAGGGTTCCCAAATGTTCCCTTGTCTCAATCTGGGGTATGGAGGTCCCTTAAATCTGGTGTCTTTTCCTCAGAGCCTTTCTGAAGTCTTGTCATCTCCCTGTGGCTCTAAGCACCAGACTTGTGCCCCAAACCCTCAGGAGCCATGCTGCTGTTGCTGACCTTGGCTGTCCTTGCTGGTGCCACCTGCAGAGCCCAGGGTGAGTACCTTATCTCCTTTGTGGCCTTCACCTCCTGTGTCCTGTCCTAGGCAGAAGGGCCTCTAAGTGTTTTCTGCCTCACTTTCCCCAGATATACTGGGCAATACAATCGGCAGCTATTTCTACATTCATGGTGAAGAGCAGGGGGAAATCAAGGCCATCCGGATCTTCTATACATTGTCCAGACATCTCAAGGGGTGAGTAGAGTTCTGGCTCCTTGGCTTCCTGTAGCACTCCCCAGTTGTGCCTGCTCCTGTAGCTTGTCTAGAACCCTCACCTGAGCTAGCCCACTCAGAGCTGGAATGCCCAGGCTAGGCCCAGACTAGACAATCCTCATGGAGGCAGGTGGAGAGGTACCTCTAACTTTGTGATTCAGAAAGGATCATAGAGACTGAAGGGTCTCTCCTCCCATAGTTCTGGTGGTCCTAGTGCTCCTTGGAAGTCACAGGAACTGCTTACATGGTCTGAGAGATGTCCCGGCTTTCACAGGACATGAAATGACCTTCACAGGACATGAAATGATGTGCGGTTCACCCTGCCATTCTGGACTTTTGCTCTGCTCTAGAAAGGCCAGCCATTCCCTAGGGACAGGCCAGCGCTTGACTGTCCTCACCAGCTTCTGCCTCATGAGGTCTGCTGTTCTCCTAGAGTGCCTCAAAGGCCTTGTGCTACTGTTGCCAAGCTTGTTAAATGCAAGCACAGTCCCCAAGGTTAATAGAATTTCAGATGTGTAGATGGAAGTTTCTCAGTCCTGCCAGGTCCTGCAGGAGCCGTTCTTATAATAATCATTCAGAGGCTTAATATTAATTACAACTGTTTGGTCTATGGCTCAGGCCTATTGCTAGCTAGCTATTACATCTTAAATCAACCCATTTCTATTCATCTATGTAGCGCCATGAATCTCGTGTCTTTACTGTGTTCTGGTACATCTTGCTCCCTTGGCGGCTTGGAGCATCTCCCTTCACTCCGTCTTTCTTCTCCCTGTATCTCTGCTTTGATTTCCTCCTGGCTGTAACCTGTCTTACCACAGGCCAAAGCAGTCTGTTTATTAACCAATGGTAGCAACACATATTCACAGCCTACGGAAAGACATCCCACAGTACAGATGATCAATGGATGTTCTTTTACTGTGTCTCCTGTGTAATACTGAGGTCATCTTAATCCTTTAAACATTCGAAGTTGGGAGACAGGGAGATGGCTGAGCAGATAAAATGTTTGCTGTGCAAGTACGAGGCCCTAAGTTTGGGTCCCAGGACCTGTGTGAAAGCCGAGAACAGCAGCACAAGTCTGTAAACCTAAAGCTGTGGGAGGAGAGACAGGGAGATCCTGCTGGACTCAGCTGGCCAGATTCTTACCCAAAATGCAATTTCAGGGTCATTTGGAGACTCTGCCTCGGAAAAATAAGGTGGTATACCTGGAAAATTGGCAGAGAAAGTAAGAAAGAGCATTTGCTCTGCAAACACGAAGACCTGAGTTAGATTCCCACAACCCATGCAAAAGGAAGATGGAGGGACTGTGAGTTAAGCACTGGGGCAGCAACAGGAACATCTCAGGAGCTCTTGGGCCAGCCAGTCTAGCTGCAACACTGTATTTCCGTTCAGAGAGAGACCTTGTCTCCAAGCAATAAGGCAGATAGCCAGAGAGAAAGATAGTCAGTGCCCTGCTCTAGCCTCTGCATGCTCTAAATATGCATCACAGACAGACAGACAGACACACACACACCACCACCACCACCACTGCAACAACACACACATCACCACACCACACACATCACCACACCAGACACATCACACGCCACAAACATCACATACCACATCACAAGCAAAACACACACACACACACCACCACAACACAACACAAACACACCACACACACACACACACACACACACACACACACACACACACGGACAGTGGTCAGGAAAGACACCCAACACCTAACTTTGGTCTCCACAACACAGGCAAACAGACATGTATACACTGCCAACACACACAATTCAGAACTGACAACATGGTTATACTTCCCCTACCACTTTTGTGGTATTGGAGGTTGAAATCAAGACATACCACTGTGTTTTGTCTATAGCCATCAATTTCATGAGACAGGGTGTCCCTGTGGTTCCCAGGCTGGCATTAAGCCTAGATTCCTCGATCCTCATCCTCACAACTGCTGGAGAGTCTATGGCCATGCTTTTAAAATGCAGTATTGGAGCCTGGCCTGGTGGTGCAGTCCTGTAATCTCAACTACCCAGGATGCTGGACAATATCAAATGTGAGGCCAAATCGTGCTTCAGGGTCCCTCAGGGTCAACCTGGACAACTTAGTAAACCCTGTCTCAGAGTAGAAAGCAGACAGAGGGTTGGAGACCAGCATGGTGGCTCATGTCAATAATGTCACAACTCAGGAGACTGAGGCAGGAGGATTTCCACCATGAAGAAGTTCAAGGAAATCCTGGCCACAGAGTGAGATCCTGTTTCAAATAAAGTAAAAAGGAAAGAAAGAATGGGTGTGGAAAATGGTACTATAGCTTAGTGGCTTGCCTAGTACATGTGTGACCCTAGGTTCAGTCGGCAGTACCTCTATAGAAGTAAAGGCTGGCAAGATGGCTCTGGCAGGTAAAGGTGCTTGCTGGCCAATCTGACCTGAGTCTGAACCATGGAATCACACAGTGGAAGGAGAAAACAACATCCTTTGGTTGTCCTCTCACTTCCACGAAGGCCTTGGCACATGTGAGCCTGCAAGGATAGACATACACAAACACACACACACACACACACACACACACACACACACACACACACACACACACGTGCACAAAATAAATAATAAATCAATGTCAGTAATAAGCAAATAAACCATGCAACACAAAATCTGCTTACAATGGAAATTACTCATGATTATCTGAAATTCTAGTTGAATTGGATATCCTTCCTGAGTTTTATCTGGAGTCTGATTTGGTATCTTATCTTGCAAGAGAAGGAAGTTGGCATTAGCAATAATGTAGAAGACTTCTTTGCTTGGTAGAACAGCTCCCAGGGCTCTCCTGTTCCCTCCTGACAACACTAGGAGAGATGAGCCTGTCTCCCTGGTCTCTGCCTGTAAGGTCTGCTGACCTGAGCAGAGGGGTCTCATTGTGGCTGCTGCCTCATTTGGGTCAGACAGGGGAGGAGGCTCTAGATGGGAAACTGATTTGGGCAGACCCTGCAAAAGATTCAGGCTCAGAATGACCTGCAGTGGTAAATATAGCCACCCAGGCACAGTAGCATGACCTGAGCCAGACTCTATGAGGACCTGTGAGAAGGGATGTGTGTGGAAGAGGCAGAAGGAGGAGGGACTCAGGCTGCCATATCAGAGCTGGGCACCTCTGGAGACTGAATTGAAAACCAGGAACGAGGAGAGGGCACAGTTATGAGTAAGAACAGGAATTCTTGAGGTTGTAATGACTTGATTTCTCTTCAGCATCCAGCTGCAGTTTCAAAATAACTGGAGTGATATCTATGGAGTCCGTTCAAGACGTTTTGAAGACTTTCTTCTGAATGATGACGAGCATGTAATAAAGGTTCTTGGCTCTGTGGGATTGTGCCTGAACTCCCTGACCTTCATTACCAACAAGGGGACTGAGTTTTCCTTTGGGAAAAAAAAAGGTCGTCCAATTGTAGAGAGTGGAGGTCCAGACCAGCATCTACAGACTGTCAATGGGATGTACTCACAGGTCTGCCTCCAAGGGATAGGCTTCAAATGGACCCATAACACAGTGATGCGTCCAAGAGAACCAGTGCTTATCTCTAACACTGACAAAGTGAAGGAAGGTAGCAAAGACAAATACAAAGTTGAAGACGATGATGATGATGATGATGATGATGATGATGAGGATGATCATAATATTGATGAGGAGTAGAAAGATGAGAAAAGGTAGTAGAGAGCTCAGATCTCAGTCCCGTATCCCCACATTGTATGACCTCCTCTCAGCCAAGCTCACCCACCTGGAGCGACCAGTGTACCAGGTGACCCTGGGCTGGAGGAGGAAAAGCCCAAAAGACTCTGTATCTCTGTGTCCAATAAACTTTGTGCATCCATATGAGCCTGAGTGGTCCTTGTCACCAAATGGGATGGTTTGAGGTCCCCCAGAGCTTTCTTTACCTCTTCACTTTTTGGACCTACACCCGTGCACTGAGTTAGGGTTTACACAGAAAGACCCTTGGTCAACTCAGCAGGCCTGGGGTCCCCAGAATGAGGCCAGCATCCAGCCCCTGCCTGTCTCAAAGCAACACAGGTCTTGCAGGAAGAGCTCAATGTGTGTTGACCAAGCTGGCAGGGCCTGGCTTTGCAGTGGTCCCATGTAACTGTATTTGAGCAGGTGCCATTGTCTCCTGTTCCTCTGCAGACCCTCCCGTTCTCCAGCCACCTCTTCCCTTCCCTTCCCTGTCCTGGTCACTATCCTCCCTCAAAAAGTTAGGCTGCCTGTGTAAGTAGTAAGTTGTTACCACTCATTTTCATATGTAGTGCACTCAGAGTTCATCAGTTATAGACAAGCAGGAGGTACTGAGCCCCTCTCTCCCTAGCTAGGAGCAGGAAAGTTCCAGGCTGTCTGCTATGTGACTGTACCCAGGGCCATTTAAGGGGCCATCTCAAGTCCCAAATTATTCATCAGATAAGGCTCTGTGTCCTAAACCAGTAGGACAGGAAATTGGGGATGGGCCAAGTCCTAGCCTATGGGAGAAGAGGACAGGAGTTTCCCAAGATTGGAGGACTTTAAGAAGCATTGTCCTTAGAGGCAGGACAAAGGCCTTGTGGCTGGGTTGGTGTCCCAGTCTCCCCACTGAAAGTCTTGCCTGACTACAGAAGATGACCTGTTCAGGTTCCATATTCCCCATATTAGGAGTCTTTGCTAGGGTCACCCTCATAGACTCCAGGGAGTTTCCACTGCACTAGGTTTCCACATTCCATATTCCATAGACTCCCCCTCCAATTCCAGTCGTCTCTCTATGCACTCTCTCCCTCCACCCCACCCCTGGCTTGATCCTTCCTGTATTCATCTCCACAAGCCCCCAGTCCACCTGCAAATCTATTCTATTTCTGCCTCCCAGGGAGAGCAACATGTCCCCTCTTGAGCCCTTATTGTAACTTAAAGTCTCTGTGTCTGTGGATTTTCTCATGGGTATCCTTTATTTATAGCTAATATCTACTTATAAGTGAGTTTATACCATGTTTATCTTTCTGGTTCTGGGTTACCTCATTCAGGATTATTTTTTTAGTTCCATCCATATGTCTGCAAATTTCATGATGTCTTTTTTTTCTTTTTAACTGCTGAGTACTACTCCATTTTGTAAAGTGCCACATTTTCTTTATCCATTATTTGGTTGAGGCACATTTAGGTCATTTGCAACATCTGGGTGTTATTGATAAAGCCACAATGAACACAGCTGAGCAAGTGTCCTTGCGATAGAATGGAGTGTCCTCTGGGTATGTGCACAGAAGTGGCATAGCTGGGTCTTGAGGTAGATCGATTCTCAATTTTCTGAGAAACCACCATATTGATTTCCACAGCGGCTGTGAAGATTGTACTCTTGCCAGCAATGAAGAAGTGTTCCCCTTGCTCCACATCCTCTCCAGCATGGGCTGTCACTTGTATTTGTATTTTATCCATTCTAACAGATATAAGATGGAATAACAAAGTAGTTTTGATCTGCATTTCCATGATAGCTTAGGATGTTGAACATTTTTTCAAGTGTTTCAGCCATTTAGGAACCCCTTGGAGGGAGAGGAGGAATTGTAGAAGCCAGAGGGTTTGAGGACACCAGGAGAACACAGTTCACAGAATCATCTAAGCAGAGCTCGTGGTGGCTCCCAGAGACTGAAGTGACAATCACAGATCCTGTATGGGTCTTAGCTCGGTCTTCTTTATGTATGTTTTTCTTTAGTTTTGTTTTGTTTTATTGTGTTTTGGTTTGGTTTTTCAAGACAGAGTTTCTCTGTGTAGCTTTGTGCCTTTCCTGGAACTCAACTCTCTAGCCCAGGCTGGCCACGAACTCACAGAGATTCACCTGCCTCCACCTCCCGAGTGCTGGAGTTAAATGTGTGTTTCACCACCACCCAGCCTGCTTCTTGGTGCTCTTGTGGGACTCCTAACAGTGGGAGTGGGGCTGTCTCTGGCTCTTTTGCCTTTTCTTGGGACCCTTTTCCTCCTACTGGGTGGCCTTGTTAAACCTTGATATGAGGGTTTGTTCCTAGTCTTGTTGTAACTCGCTGTGCTGTATTCCACTGATATCCCTGGGAGGTCAGCTCTTTTCTGAAGGGAAACAGAGGAGTGAATCTGGGGCAGAGGGGTGGTGGTAGGTGTTAGGGAGGGGAGTGGAGGGAAGGGAAACTGCCATGATGTAATGTAGCTGGAGTTTTGTCCTGTCCCACCTGGGCCTGCAGACACTCAGACCCAAATAAACACACAATAATTAAAACTGCTTGGCCATTTGCTCAGTCTAACTACTGACTAGCTCTTACACTTAAACTCAGCCCGTTTCTGTTAATCTATATGTCACCACATGTTCAGAGCCTTTACCTGTATGCCATTACATGGTGTGCCCTGGACTGTATGTTGGCATCTCCTGAATCATCCTTCCTCTTCCCAGAATTTTCCTTGTCTGCTTATCCTGCCTGTACTTCCTGTCTGGTTAATGGCCAATCAGCATTTTATTAAACCAATGTACAAAAGCATTATCCCACAACAATGTGATATATATGAGAAGAAGTTTTTGAAAGTTTGAAAATATGTATATAGGTGATCTTACTTCCTTAAACTTTACCATGTAGCTGGGTGGTGATGGTGGATGCCTTTAATCCTAGCACTCAGGAGGCAGAGGCAGTGTATTCTGTGAGTTTGAGGTCAGCCTGGTCTACAGAATGAGTTCCAGGACAGCCAGACCTACACAGAAAAATCCTGTCTCAAAAAGAACTAAAAAAAAGTACCATGTATTTAATTTGGAGTCAATGCTTGTTTACAGAAATGAAATAATAATTGTATAAATGAGATAAAAGTTCTTAGAAGGAGATAGGTAAAATATGTTTTTAAAAAATAAAAATGAATTTTATATAATAATATAAGATTTTTACAGAGACTAAAAATCAAAGATGAAAACAAAATGAAGAAAAGTTAAAGCTAAAAGCTACGCTCAGAAGATCTGAGTGAGTTCTGCAAGGTTTTGGAAATTGACCTAATAATGGTCTGTGTTTATGATAAAATTCCTAAGATTATACTTGTCCACTTGTGGTAATATTGACAGAGTCTTTTGTTTTGTTTTGCTTTTGAGAAAAGATTTCTGTATGTCACAGCTCTGGCTGTCCTGAAACTCACTCTATAGACCAGGCTGGCCTCAAACTCACAGAGATCTGCCAACCTCTGTGAGTCTGGGATTAAAGGTTTGCACTACCACAGCCTAATGACAAAGAGTCTTAAAAGACAATGAATGTATGTCTAATTAATACAATGTCTTGCCTTTCTGTCAATCTTTCTGTATGTTTTTTTGAGAAAAGTTTACCCTACATAGCCCTTGCTGTCCTTGAACTCACTATGTATACCAAGTTGGCCTCAAATTCAAAGAGATCAACCTGCCTCTGCTTCTTGAGTGCTAGGATTAAGGTGTGTGCCAAAACACCTGGCCATGTTTTTTGTTAACTATATTTGACTTTAACCACTTGGGGAAATTGAGTCATAACAAAATAAGAATGTAGTGGTTTGAATGAAAATGTCCCTCAAGGTGTGGCCTTGTTGGAGGAAGTAGGTCACTGTGGGTGGGCTTTGGAGTTTCAGAAGCTGAAGCCAGGCCCAGTGTCTCTCTCTCTTCCTGCTGCCTGCCCATCCAGATGTAGAACTCTCAGCTCCTTCTCTAGCACCGTTTCTGCCTGATGTTGCCATGTTTCCTACCATGACAATAATGGACTAAACCTCTGGACTGTTAGACAGCCCCAATGAAATGTTTTCCTTATAAGAGTTATTGTGGATGAGATGTCTCTTCACAGCAATACAAACCTTAATTAAGACAAAGAGTTTCTTTAAATTTTTTAAAGTTTTTATTAGTTTAGGTGTGCGAGTGATTTGCTTGCACATACATATGTGCACTGTATGTGTGCCTGGTGCCTTCAGAAGCCAGAAAAAAGTGTCAGAAGCCCCAGAACTGGAGTTACAGATGGTTGTGTACGGTGATATTTTATTTGTACTAAAATGTGATTTTATTTGTATATTAATAAATAAAGTTGCCCCGGGGTCAGAGCTATTAGCAAGCCATAGAGAAAGCTGGGCTGTGGTGGTTCATGCCTTTAATCCCAGCACTTGGTAGACAGAACTAGGTAGCTCTCTGTGTGTTCAAGATACAGACAGTATTGGAGACACATGCCTTTAATCTCAATACCAACCATAGAAGACCTGGAGGTCTGTACAGACAGGCAGTGACTAGGAAGTCATGTGGTTGGGTTTACAACCAATGAAAAGGCAGAACAGTAACTTTATAAAAAAGGCAGACACAGGAAGTAGGTCTCTTTTGGAGAGGTAGGACAACAGCAACAGTGAAGGGTAAGGTTTTAGCTACTGCTCTGACCTCTTGGCTTTCATCTCTGTATTGGTTCTGTGTTTCTTATTTAATAAGACGGTTGGTTACATCTACATTTGGTGCCCACGTGACAAGAATCCATTAAAAACCGCTTGACTTGGCTTGGCAGCAGGTCTGGTTTCCTGCCTGGGCGGCCCAGCTCCCTAGCTTGGGCCCAGGTTGGCTTAGGTCTCAGGCTGGACTGACCCCAAGGAGTTACCCGCAGCTGGAGCTACTTGCTTAAAGTTGGTGCTACAAACAACTCAGGCCTGCCCTGCCGAACAGGGCCCCTGCCTGTAAAACCAAGGCACGTGGTTGG